GAAGCTTTAATCAAAATACTGGATGATTGAATAGCAGCCCAGAAAATCTGAACCTGTGCAAGTGAAAATGTGTGACTGCTCACACTTAGAGATAGATGACCCTTGCCCTGAACAGGCTTAGCCCTTTGCTCTAATAATCCAGAGGTCTGGGATGGATTCGTAGAAGCTTTGCCTCGTGGATAGGAGTATTAATATTTCAGAGAGCCTGATGAGCATTCCAGAAAGTAAAAAGTACTATTTTATAGGCTGTTGTACTATATCCTGAAGAGCAGGGAGGGGACTGGGGGAGGGGCATGGTGCAGAAAAACACGACGCAGAAGCAGAATTGTTTCCTAATAAAAAAATCTCTCAAAGTTTTCTGCGAGGCCCTGTCAGCAGCTCTTCAAGCAGCACGGCTTATTTTAAATTTTATTTAAATCAACAAATTGTACACACTTGAACATGGAAACAGAATACAGGGAAAACACAAGCTGCCCTAACAGAGTAATGTCTAATAAACATTATGCTACTCAGAGATATTTGCTGTTTAATCACCCCTTGAAAAGATGTCAGATAGCATCTTGCTAAAGGCAATGGTGCCAGCTTTCCTGGCTTCGGAGTTCATGCAGCTAATTTTTTTCCTCTCTCTTCCCCATTTGCTTTTTTTTTTTTTCCTTTCTTGTTTTTCAAATAACAACCTCTGAGATGCTCACTCAGAGGATAAAGCATTTGTGCTTTAAACCCATAATAATGGGTTTCCCTGGCGGCTCCTGCAATGCAGGAGACCCGGGTTCAATCCCTGGGTCAGGAAGATCCTCTGGACGAGTTAATGACCGCCCACTCTAGTATTCTTGTCTGGGAAATCCCACGGACCGAGGAGCCTGGTGGGCTACAGTCCACGGAGCAGCAGGGAGTCGGTCCTGAGTGAGAGACTAACACCGGCTTATTGATAATATTCTTACCAATGAGAATAGTTTCTGGAGTAACTTCTTTGTCAGGGCTGCCTATATACTTGGTGGGGCCCAGAGCAAGTGAAAACATGGGGTCCTTTTTCAAAAATTAAGAGAATTTCAAGGAACTGCTAGCAGAACGTTCAACCTAAAATGAGGCCTTTCTGAGTATAGGCCCTGGTCTCTACCAACCAGACCCGCCTCCTGACACCTCTGTGTGACAATCGAAGATGTCTGCAGATACAGTCAGCTATCTTCTGAAGGGTGAGACTGCCGCAGCTGGGAACCGCCTGTCTAGATGAGTGAATCCCATACTCCGATTGTGTGAGTCACGTGCCTATTTCCTATAGAAGGCATTGTTGTTGAGTTATTGTTCTTGTTTAGTCTCTCAGTCGTGTCTGACTCTTTGCCACCCCCATGGACTGCAGTCCGCCAGGTCCTCTGTAAATGGGATTTTCCCAGGCAAGGATACTGGGGAGGGTTGCCATTTCCTCCTCCAGGGGATCTTCCCGACCCGGAAGCGGCAGGCAGATTCTTTATTACTGAGACAGGGAGGCCCCATTAGCCTTGTCTAAAGAGGTCAGCCACTATTCAGCTCCAGTGGACTGTTGTTAAGAAGAAATATTTACTCATCATTGTCAGAGCTTACATATTTTCAAGAAATGTCTGGTTTTATTTTTTTTCAGACTTTTACATGCTGGCATCAGTTTTTTATAATTTGATGTAGGCCAGATGAGAGACGTCTTTGGACGTCTGCAAATGTCTCCTGCTGCCCGGGTGCAAACTCTGGCCTAGAGAACTCCCCAAGATTCGGTCCCAGGTGTCCCTGATGCCGAGCTGAGCTCCCACGTCTCAAGGATGTTTCCCCCAGGGAATGCTGCCTTTCAAAACAGTTGGATGGATCAAAGTAGTACTTAACGCACTTCATTGATTAGGTTCATATTGCCTCTTTGAACAGAGAGTTTTATTTAACCTGTATCTTGATAACAAGTAAATTCCCGAGTGGGTGAAAGGAAAAGGGTTATTTAGAAGATGCTCTTTCAATTGAAGCTGTCTATTTTTTCACCCACCCTGATGACTATTTTCTCTGCTTGTAAGTACTAGAACCTCCTTCAAGCTAGCTCTCCAATGTGGCAATTTATTATAAAGATACACAGGAATATTTCTGAACCCATGGACAGCAAGTATACTCACACCCCCAGAAGGGACCAGAAAAGCTGTGTTGAATCAAGTGATACTCCGATGTATCTTTCGTTATTCCTTTCTCTCTGGAATGACTTTCTCCTTCTGTAAGTACATAGCTGCCCCACTGCCGGACCTATACATTGCTCAAGCTTCATTTGAAATTTCTAGAGTGAAAGTAAATAGAACCAGCTGGAAGTAGACATCAAATTTTGTTTTTCTCAAATTCTCAAATTATTCTTGACCTCCCCCTGCCCCCAAAAATGTGAAAGACAGTTTTAGCTAGAGCTTTTCTCTCTGTATTTAGCAGTAATCACTGGGATGAATTTTATGGATCTTTAACACCAAAAGTGTAATTTACATTCAACACTGGGAAATATCAAGAAAGAATTGCTTATATGTGAGGAGTAGACTACAACAATTACAGGCCATGAGTGAAACTGAAATGTACCTCAGCTTTATCAATGATATTTCAATCAATGCACACTAAGGAAATAATCATGAATATGTTGAAAGACCTAGTCACAAGACTATTGATCATTGTATTATTTATAACAGTGAAAAACTGAAACCACTTATATGGTCAACAATAACAAATTACCTTAAAAATTACAGTCTGTCAAGGCAATGGGGACTATGATATCTTTTAAAATGGTCTTGAAAAATATGAGTGACATGTAAGAAAAGTCCCATCCTATATCAGAAGTCAGCAAACTATGGCCATGGGGTCAACCCTGCCCATCACCTGTTTTTGTCACCAGTTTTGCTGGCACAAAGCCATGCCCTTTCGTTTCCTTCTAGTCTATGGCGGGCTTTGTTCTATGGCTACAGAGCTGAGTGGCTGTGACAGAGCGACCTCATGGCCAGCGAAGCTGAAAATACTTGCAACCTGGCTTTCTACAGAAAAGGTTACTGACCTCTGTTTTGTACCATTGGTGATAAAACAGTATTATTTTGGAGAGAGAAAGAGAAAGAAAATAGCCAAAGTAAGCATACTGAAATGAAGAACAGTGGGTATCGTGAATGATAGGAAAATGGGTAATATTTATTTTTATCCCTTTGCTTTTCAGTCTTCTCCAAAATCAATACAATAACTATTACTATTGTCATAACACACAAAACAGTTAATTTTTTTATACCATCCTGGAGAAGGAAATGGCGACCCATTCCAGTATTTTTGCCTGGGAAACCCCATGGGCAGAGAAGCCTGGTGGGCTACAGTCCGTGGGGTCACAAGGAGTCAGACACGACTCAGCAACTAAACAGTAAGCTAACAGAACAGAGATTTCAGGGGCCACACGTGACAAAGAGTACAGAGTTTATAGACCTAGTTCAGAAAAAGACACTAAATTTGTTTTTTATACCATTAAAAAAGGCTCCATTCTATTCCCCCCAGTCTCCCAATCTCTCCTCGGCTACAGCGACAGCAGAAGAGTCTCTGGTTCTTTACTGAGCGACTGTAAAGCCACCAAGTGCCCTGGAGCCAGGTTCTGTTCAATACTATACCTGGGAGGATACGCGCAACAGGAAAAGAGGAACAGGGCCACAGAGCTTGGAGAAAATTGAGATCTGCAGACGTGACATTTCCTGGAAATCAGCCTGTCTTGGTTCCTCCCATAATTATTCACCATTTTGTTTACAAATGGGAAAAAGAACTCTACTGTTCACTGTCTTCCAAGAGACTGAAGTTAATTTGAAATAATCCTCCAGCAAAAGCACCAATAAAAGCATCTGGAATGCCCTGATGCCATCCCCTCTGGCTACTGACACGACATTATTGATACACAAATCAAAGTTGACTGCTCTGGTAACATTGAGTCCCCTGGAAGCAAGAGCTTTCAACAGAGAAGGTGTTCCTTTCTTAAGACAGGGCCAGCTCAATACACTATCTCGTTGTAACAGGCTTAGTTAAGACATTAAAGGGATCCCAAACAGAAATTTTACATCTCCTTCCTTTCTTTCCCCTCAGATAGAATGGGCCTGTCCCCCGCTAAAATCATAAATAAATAAAAGAAGAAGAAATTCAAACTATGCCTAAGAATAGGCTCATGAGACGTAAAGGAGGCTGGAAATGTAATGTGATGCGAAGGCTGTCACAAGATTTCACTTGTCAGAGATACTAGCAGGAAACTTACGCCTGCCTGGAGTTTCCACCATTAAAGTCATCTCTTTAGAGACACTGTGTTGTTGTTTTTTTTTTTAAAGGCTCTGCTCAAATATAGAATTATTGAACTTCTGGATTTTAAGAGTGAGTCCTTAGAGGTCATAAATCCATTGCTGAACTGATATGCAAATCCCCACTCCTGTATTCCTTCTAAGACATCTCTTGACCCTTATATGATCTCCTCCCAAGATAGGGAACTCATTACTTGAAAAAAGAACAGCTATTCCATTTTGAGCTGGCTTGAACTATCCAAAAGCTTTCTTTCTGGTGAAATAAAGTCTGCTTCTGGGTAACTTTTATTCTTTGGTCACTAGTTCTGTTTCATTCACCCAAACGAATGTTTAATGTACCCTTTCAGGCATGGTCTGAAACGACTGAGTGGCGTCAAAGTTTCTGCTCTCACGGGGTTTACATAGTGATGAAAACAGTGAGCACACAATACATGATAAGCAAGATCATCTCAGGCACGGTCAAGACGGTACGGACCTGCCTTGTCCTTAAGTCAAGACAGCGATAAGGACCAGAGAGAGTGAGGCAGGCTGCTTTGGACAAAGAATGTTAGAGTTGAATTGTGTTCTTGATAAAAATATGCTGAAGTCTCAACCTCAGGACCTGTGAATGTGATCTCTTCTGGAAATAGGGTCTCTGTGGATGAAATCAAGTTAAAATGATGTCACAAGATGAGCCAGGAACCAGAGTCCGAATAGGAAGAGAGGAAGAGACTGTCACCACGAGACGCGCATGAGGAGACAGCCAGGGGACGCCAGGAGGACGGGCGGGGAGCCGGCACTGATGCAGCTGTAAGCCGGGGCACCCAGCAGGAGCTCAGAGAAAGGCGGGGAACCGATGCTCCTGCAGAGCCTGCAGAGAGAACAGAGGCCCGCCAGCGCCTTGGCTGGGACTTCTGGCTCCCAGGGCTCTGGGAGAGCCGAGGTCTCCTGCTCCCTGCACAGTCTGCCGTCTTCGCTACAGCACCCCTGGGAAACGGACGCGGAGGGTCAGGGGAGACCTCACAGAGGGGCAGCTCTCGAGCTGATGCACCAGTTTCCACGAGGAAGGAGGCTCTCCCAAGCACAGGAAGAGCAAAAGCCCCGACTCTGGAATGAGCTTGGAATGTTCCGGGAACAAAAGGAGGCCAAGCGACAGGAGGTCTGATCAGAGGCGCACGTGGTAGGAGATGAACTTGGAGAAGGGACTGGAGCTAAATTGTGAGAGAGGCTCCTCCTCACTCTGTGCAGTGAAATGCAGGCCCGTGGACCCCACCCCGGGACTGACGGATGTATGGTGGACCCAAGCATTGATGTATTTTTAAAGGTTTTGAGAACCACATATATGGAGCAGTGTGAGTCTGGTAAATAGCTTGGAGTTTATTCTTTACGCAAGGTATCTCAGCTCACTAGGACGCTTTACTGGGCGCAGTACGATCCTTCAGATGTTGGAAGGCAGCCCTTACATGCCACTTCCAGTCCCGATGGCCCTTCTCCTCCCCATCTTCTCTTCTTCCAAACCTCACCAGTTTCTCACATGCAATTTGGTTCAGTCTCCTGCAGACCTAACAGGAAGCCACTGAAGTCGAACACCTCCTTACACCTCAACGTGATAGCACACGGTTCTGTTAGCTTAGCCAGCTCAGCGGGTCTCAGCCTCCCCTTCTGTCCCATGAGGCTTCCTCCCATCGCCGCCCCCCTCCACGTGGGCACAACATCAGCGCTGGAATGGATCTGAACACCGCCCATCCCCGCAGAGAGGAGTTGTTCTGCTCTCCTACCAGTCACAAGTAATAAATTGACAGGTTCCTGGAGAAGAGTCAAACGCTCAAGGAATTTGGGGGCGGGGAAGAGAAAGGGTTCCAGGGTTCCTTCAGAAGGATTTCAAGGCTCTCCTATGTGCTTCATCTGCTGAGGGGAGGTCTCCTCATTCTGATCGGCAGGGCCGAGGTGGCTCAGGCAGAGCCCCCCGATGCTGTTGGTGGAGGTCGAGATGCTAAGGCAGGCGGATGTATTGGAGTCCCTGGAGACAGACTTCCTCTACTTCTCAGGCTGAAAGAGAAGAGATCAAGGGCCGTCATTCACACAGTGGAGCGTTTGAAACCTTGACACTGCAATTTCGGCACAGTGTAATCCTTGGCTTTTAGCTCTAAGGTATTTTTGGAAACTCTTTCTCAAAGAAGATACATAAGACATTGTTCAGACTATGTACCTATTCATTTTTTTTTCCTTTTCAGAGATTGGCAAGAAACTCTGATGAACATAGAAGCTTGCTGGCTCAGCCAGTAACAAATATCAAAAGATCAGGGCAACAATGTGAGAAAGTAGATTGGCTACTTACCCATTGGACTGTTTCAGTCAGTCAGTCAGTTCAGTCGCTCAGTCGTGTCTGACTCTTTGTGACCCCATGAATTGCAGCATGCCAGGCCTCCCTGTCCACCACCAACTCCCGGAGTTTATTCAAACTCTTGTCCATTGAGTCAGTGATGCCATCCAGCCATCTCATCCTCTGTCGTCCCCTTCTCCTCCTGCCCCCAATCCCTCCCAGAATCAGGGTCTTTTCCAATGAGTCGACTCTTTGCATGAGGTGGCCAAAGTATTGGAGTTTCAGCTTCAGCATCAGTCCTTCCAATGAACACCCAGGACTGATCTCCTTTAGGATGGACTGGTTGGATCTCCTTGCAGTCCAAGGGACTCTCAAGAGTCTTCTCCAACACCACAGTTCAGAAGCATCAATTCTTCAGCACTCAGATTTCTTCACAGTCCAACTCTCACATCCATACATGACCACTGGAAAAACCATAGCCTTGACTAGACAGACTTTTGTTGGCAAAGTAATGTCTCTGCTTTTTAATATGCTGTCTAGGTTGGTCATAACTTTCCTTCCAAGGAGTAAGTGTCTTTTAATTTCATGTTTACCCAGTATTATATAGACCTCTAGATTGTGAGAGGGCTTCCCTGCTAGGTCAGTTGGTAAAGAATCTGCCTGCAATGCAGGAGACCCCGGTTCGATTCCTGAGTCGGGAAGACCCCCTGGAGCAGGGACAGGCATTAGGGTCCAGCATTCCTGGGCTTCCCTGGTGGCTCAGCTGGTGAAGAATCCGCCTACAAGGCAGGAGACCTGGGTTAGACCCCTGGGTTGTGAAAACCCCCTGGAGAAGGAAATGGCTACCCACTCCAGTATTCGCCTGGAGAATTCCATGGACTGCATGGTCCATGGGGTCACTAAAGTGTTGTACACCACTGAGCGACTTTCGCTTTCTCTTTCTAGATTGTAAGAGTCCTGGTTCATTGCCCAGGCCCACACAAGAACAAACTCTGTGATACTCAGATTTACGAGGAGACCTAATGCTTCCTCCAGGATATGCATTGGCATCCAGCCACCTGTTCACAAACTGGGTCTGACTTCTGGTTGGCTGGTACTTGCTGTTAAATATTTTCAGTTTTACTTCTTTATCTCAGGGCTCATAGAAACCCTTACAGAGCAATGGAAGAGCAGTGCTAAGACTCCCATCCTTAGAGGACAATTATTGGTTGTCTGTCAAGCCATCAGTGGTCACTCCCCTGGCTGCCACTCTGTTCTGATCTACAGGGTGAGCTCTGAGAAACCCCTTCACGCAGTGGCTTTGGCTGCACCCACATGCTAACTACACTGATTGGTCCAAGAGCTGGAAATGCTCCAAGTTCCGTCTCTAGGAACCAGGTTCAGGCCAAGGAGAAATTCAATCTCTCCATCTCCATCATTTGGTCTCACTGTGTTTCTATTTCTATGTTTTTCTTTCTTTCTCTCTCTTTAGACTGAAAAAACTTAGATGTTGTCAACAGCCATATTTTAAAGCCTAGAATTTGAGAAACTGAATGAGGCAACCTGCAGTATAAGAAAAGAGTTTATCCAATGCCATTACATTCTCTACAACGTACTCCAAATTATATTGAACAAGATGAAATTGCCAATATTTGACCATTTTTAAATTGACCACGATTAATAAAACTGACATGAAGTATTGCTCTAGCTGAGCTATTTAGGATTTACAACGGTATTGTCCTTTTCAATTTTCTCTAGAATTGATTTGTTTTTGTTCATGTTTATTTTTCATGCAGAAACAAACATTATGACAAATTCACACAAATCATGAATCCTTTCTTTTATATGAATTTCATCAGGGGCACCGAATACCTGAAGAAGGTAGAAATATTAATTTGCCCTTGGGAGAGGGTTTGGGTAGCCAAAGGACTATTCTGCAGTGGTTTGGAATTTTCATTCTAAAATTTATTTGAATTGAAGATCATTTAGAATTCATGCTAAAAGCCAACCTTCAAAGCAATGTGAGGCCTGTAATAGACATAAGCATTTCTCAGAACCTGGGTACAATAGGGAAGGTGAAAAATTAGACAATGGGTACCACACCAATGGATAGGAAAGCAATGCTGAGATGTTTGGTGAGTTGCTTACTGCTTAGGTTTCAAAAGAGTACAGGTACATTTTTGGAAGAGATTATGAGCTGTGACCATAGATACTGGTTGACTATTGAAAGAGATCTGGGCATTGACTGAAGATTGAGGACACTCTCAGTCTGCTAGGAAACCGTCATTAAAATCAGAGAATGTTCTGGTACCAACACAGCAGCCTATATCAGCCACAAAGCAGCACTCTGTTTTAAAGCAGCGTGAACAAATAACCGCAGAATCATCTCGTCACAAAGCTGTTCCACGCTTGATTGATAAATGATTCTATGACTATGTGCTGCTTTGGCGGACTCTCGGTCCCCTCACTGTCATGACAAGTATGCCGTTAGAGCAGGGGTCAACAAGCCATGGCCCACGGGCCAATTCTAGCCCACCAACTGTTTCTGCATAGCCCATGAGCTAAGGCTAGTACTTACAGTTTTAAACAGTTGAAAATAATCAAAAGCATGATGTTTCCTGACATGTGAACCTTAAATGAAATTTCAGTTTCAGTTCATGGGTAAAGTTTTTGAAATACACCAACAATTTGCTCACATATTGTCTGTGGCTGCGCTTCCACTAAAACAAATGGCTTGAGTACTCGGGCAACAGAGACAGTAGGGCCCGCAAAGCCTGAAAAGTTTACTCTCTGGCTCTTTACAGAAATGAGTGCGCCAGCCTCCATTCTAGAGCACTTTTGCTTCTGCAAGACTTTCCTAGCAAGATGCTGGGGTACATAAAAGGAGAAGGTTTGGCCTTCATCAAACTTAAAGAAGAGGCTTTGTTGTTTTGTACATCCTTGTTGATAAATACAAAAATTTGACCTGAGACCTGTTCTCCTTGGAGTCTGGTTGTGAGTTGTGGGAGCAGACTCGGAGTTGACATCAATCTCTCTAACTGTTGGGGGTTAATGAAACTGACCAAGAAGAATTTAACTCTATGAAGCCCAATTTGCTCAGATCACTTTGCAGCACCCGCCTTGAGAGGGGCAGAATTGATCTGAGTGTTTGCAAAAAATACTCATTGACATTTTAGTACCTGATTTCAGACCTTTCCTAGGACCCAGTTGTTTTACTGCCCTTTCACCCCATGAAACATTGAATATCTTTAAAATGAATCCCTTTTGTTTTGCTTAAGCTACATCCAGCAGATTTTTATCACTTGCAACCAAATAGAATCCTTATTTATACACTCTTGATGATCAGCAGAAGGGGATAAAGATGCAAGAGCTGTAGCTGTTCATTTTATGGAACCATAAGATCTTCCTGAATTATTTAGTTAACCATCCACCAGCACTTATAGCCAGGCACCTCTCACACTTAACCCAGAAATCTTAGTTATTAAGGTGATGCTTTATACTCTGCATTGGGCAGCAACCCAGCAAAAATGCCAATACATTTTAGGTAAGCCTGGGGAGTATGCAGCGTGTTGATGGGCAATAAGTAACATGCACCTTAACTCTTTTTAAGAGAGTCCCAGACATCACACACTCAAGACAACCCAAATGCCTCATCCATTATTCACAGATAGAGCCAAAGATTCAG